CATCGAATTTGCTATATTGTAGCTACCGATGTTTGGTTAAAAAAAGCTTCGAGGTTTCGATATGCATCGATGTTCAGTCCTTTGAGCAAATAATAGTGCTCCCTTCATTTCAGATTTTAAAGCGTTTTAGTTCTTCTAGATGCATAGTTTTTGCAATCCACTTACTTATACGCTATGTTTAAATAAATAGTAAAAACAGTGTATTTTAAAAGTTAAAACGTTTTATATATAATTTAAAATAGGGGAATATTTTCTAGTACACGATGGAGAACGAGAAAGAGAGAGGGAGGGATTTCTGGTTCACAAGCACGAAGGAAGTACGAGGGATGGGGTCCTTGGCCACGAGTGAAGGCTCCACGTGGGTCTGGGCATTGACACCCCATTCTGCGATTTCGGGCATTGTGTGTAGACGTGGAGGTTGAAAGAATATTTCAAACCTTGGCACACTGCGGGCGCTCTGTTTTAACTTTTTCTAGTTATATATCGTGCCTCGTTAATTCTAAATTGTAATTCACTATGGTTTTATTCTAAATCCTGTTTCCTTTTGCAAATCATAGTGTAGCTGCAGACACTTGTACATACACACATTCATCCCTTGAAACACATCTATACACTCTACACCTACGAGTATCTTTGATAGACTAGATTAATTAAATTAATTTATTGAAAAGATACAAAACAATATATCTAGAATATCAAAAAAAAATTGCGAATATCTAGAATATCAATTTAGTTTTACTAAATTGTTCATTACACATATGTTTTGACAGAGCAACCATAGTTTAAAATAAATGAATTATGCCAAATTTCTAAAACAAGCACATGCGTGAACCTAAGCCGTTCCACTTAGTTTTTTTTAATAATTGTCTGAAAATTAAACCGCCTTTTGAGACGGTTAGAAAGTTTGAATGTAGCTAAACATTTATATGACTAGTTTCTTATGGCAACCACATCTAATAATTGTCATAGCCGCCTCTATATTATATGACTGGTTTTTTATGTCAACCGCATCTAAAATTGTCATAGCCGCCTCTATAAAAAAATCAGTTTTTGTGATGTGTTTCTCGCTCTTACCTTACCACACAATTTACGGGATCAGAGGAAAATGTAGGGAAAGTTGCTCAGACGTTGTCATAACTCATAGCCACATTTGTCAACAGAGCTACTTACAAATACACATTTACACCAGCAGACGGGGGCTTCCGAATTGTGAAAGCCAACAAGAGAACACTGCTATTCTGCTAAGTTCTAAACACAAGAAGCAAATGGACGCAAAGAAGAAACGCGTGGCGATCGTCGGAGCCGGCCCAAGCGGCCTGGCGGCATGCAAGCACGCGCTGGCCAAGGGCTTCCGCCCCGTGGTCTTCGAGTCCGGCACCGCCGTCGGCGGCGTGTGGAACCGGACGCTGGCATCCACGAGGCTGCAGACGCCGGCGTCCGCCTACCGGTTCTCCGACTTCCCCTGGCCGCCGGCGTCCGCGGACGATGAGGGGCTCTCCTTCCCGCGCCACGACCAGGTGGCGGAGTACATGACCGCGTACGCGCTGCGCTTCGGCGTCCTGGAGTGCGTCCGGTTCGGCTGCAGGGTGCTCGGCGCCAGCTACGTCGGGGCGACGGAGCAGGAGGTGGCGGCGTGGGAACGCTGGTCAGGGAATGGCGAGGCGTTCGGCGACGGCACGGGCGAGTGGCACCTCACCGTGCGGCACGGCGACGGCGAGTCGGAGGGCGGCAGCACTCAGGTATGACGTATGGCTAAGACGCTAAGTCAATCATTGCCAGAGATGAAATGTGGTGGTAGGTGTTCCACGGTCGGGGATAGTGTATGTTTGCTTTCGTTTGGACGTATCTATCGACTATCGACCAGCCAGCAGAGAATCCCGAATTTTGGTATATTGGTCTCCTTAGCATCCAAATGACGATTGAGACCGAGAGTTTCCGTCCCAATGCAAGGTACTCTTCTAAAGGAAAACTTTTTATCCACTCAGTGCATGCCCACATGGATTGGTCACTGATCCAATAATCCGCCATGCGCTACACTAAAAAAGCATTATGTCTTTATTCGACTTTTTTTTTTTGCGAACTTAAGTTTTGCATTGCACTACTGCCGAACCAGTTTTTGCAGACGGGCAGAATTGATTTTCCGAGGCTCAAATCCTTGGCCTATGTTAATCCCAATTTTCGGAGGCAAGCACCGTGCCAGCTTGTGCTAATCACAATTTTTTGAGGCAGGCATTGTAACCGTCTGCGAAAATAAATCACACAAAATTAAAAAAAAAACTCACTGGCAAACCCGAGCCCACCAGCGCCTCCGCTGACTACCTCGCCAGATCCGCCGATGCTGCCGGCTTCCATGAACCACCACTGTGCGCTTGGATCTCGCTGTCGTCTTCACACGCTCGGAAGGCCGCACGACTGCCGAAACGGAGACCGCCGCGCCACCGTGAGAAACCCTAGCACGCCGTGAGGGAGGCCGTCGCGCCGTCGTCTTCACGCCACGAGAAACCCTAGTGCGCCACTACGAGGCCGATTAGATCTCGCCACGCCGCCGTGTGAGGCCGCCTCGCTGTCTCAAGGCCGCCACCCCCCTCCGCGAGTCTGATTTTAGCAGAGAAGAGAGATGGATGCGAGAGAGTGAAGGAAACCCTAAAGTCCCTCTTCATATATAAACCCGGTAAGGTGGAATGGGTCACGACTTCCATGGGTTTGGTTGGTACTTGGTCTATTAACGAAGGCAGGCCTCTTAAGTGGTCCGCCTATGAAAATAGAGAGGCCCGCCTACGTAAATCGATTTTATAAGACGAGCAATTATGACCGCCTCCCTAAATAAAATATCTGCCTCTGTAAATCCATTTGGCGAGGCGGTCAAATAAGATGTCCGCCTCCGAAAATCCTCAGGTATTTTAGAAGGCACCTACTATACATTTTGTGACTGCCTCCGTTAATGAAACGACTTGTCTCCTAAAATCAATTTTTTAGTATTGTTACCACATTAGATAGTCGACTTTGATAGTTATTACTTTCCATAGTTTTATATCAACGAAAACTAAAAGCATTTTAAAAGCCAAATAACCATATACTCCCTTCATCACTGAATAAATCAATTTCTAGAATTGTTCTAAATCAAACTTTCTGAATTTGATCAAAGCGCAAAGATTTATAACATGAAATTAGTGACATTAGACTATACAGCATAAATATATTTTCATAACATGCTTACTTGTTTTCATAAATATTTGTGTTTTAAATATGAAAAAAAACTTAAGATAACTTTAGAATTTGATTTATCCAGGGACAAATGTAGTATATATGACTATAAGAGCCAAGTGTAGTATACGACTATAAGAGCCAGTTGCCAGTTGGAGCTTTCACCATAGGGTGATGCTAGGCTTGAGTTACCTAAAAACCGTTTCTGTTTGGAGACGGATTGGATCCGTTAGCTCTAAAATTGGATGCTAAAATAAAGAGCTAACTGATCCAAACATCCTAGTTAAAAGGCTAAATATTAAATAGGCCTGCTAAGTTATTGACACACTCTCTTAGCCAAAATGTTGCTGGGAGCAATTCCAAGAGACTCTATATCCCTCCTAATTTAGAGGAATTGAAGTTTTGATGAAAAATACACTTAAAAAGCTTTTTTAATTGGATCTCCAAATGTAGACACCATTCCAGATTTCTCAATAACGAAAGATGGAGAGTGAGGATGTGGTTGTCTAAAGTGCACACAAGATACCGAAAAGCAAATATATAAAAAGCGATTTTTTTCTCAAATGACTCATAACGATGATTTAGAGAGTAAATTTTAAAAAGATTATTAAAGATAGATGCTCTAATTATTAGCTACTATATGTAAACAACCCAACTAATAGCACAACGACAAAAAAATATTATATTAGCTCTCTCACTCTCACCTAGCAAAATTTGCAAGCAAACACGTCTTAGCCGATGAACGAACAGCGGCCATCCGTTTGTAATCAACAATCCAGAATGAGTGTTTACTATTTATATGTATTCATTCGTCACTGCCGGCCTCTCCTCGCATAAAGAACGCGCTACTTGCCAGTGCCGGCAGGCTCCTATCCTTGTCAATGTCCCCTCCTAGGTCCTAGATGCCTCTCCTTTCTTGTTAGGCTATCCGTACTCGTCTACCTCTATATTTATCTCTAAAAAGAAATATTTTATTTTAGTCATCAAGATTTTCTACTCTATACTTATTTCTCCCGCACCCATGTTATCTCTATCCCATACTCTATACCCACTATTCCATATTTTATTCCTATCCCTCTCTCTTTCTCTCTCCCACCAACTTTCTCTTTCTCGCAGCTACAGTGTTGCTACAGTATTTACCGTGGCCTCCCGCGTGCGCTGGGTTTAGCGGGTTACTGTGCAGCCGGTACCATACCGGAGGCTTTGCAGGTGAGCGGTGCAGGAGCGCGGTACGCTATCGCTGGCGTACCGGCCCCTTTGCAGGTCAGCGGTGCGGTCAGTCTTATGCTGTCCGCACCGGAGAGCGGTAAAAGCGTCTGCAAACGCGCGCGCGCGCCTGGACAGCCGCACAGCGCACCGCTGCAGGCAGCGGTCAGTCCGTACAGCGCTAAACACTGTAGCAAGAGAAAGAAAGAGAGTTAAGGAGAGAGAGAAAAGGGGAGTGAGAGAAATAAAATAGGGAATAGTGGGTATAGAGTATGGGACAGAGATAATACGAATGTGGAAGAAATGGATATAGAGTAGAGAATCTCGATGATTAGGATAGAATATTTTTTTAAGATGAAAATAGAGATCGGCCTTAGACTCTCAAATTTTGAAGCATCTCCCGTGCTGTTCATCTCGTATGACCCAGCAGCCATCCTTTGCATGCGACCCGCGCGCTTCGTCGCTTCGCTTGTCACTATCGCGTAGCTCTGTCAGGCTAGCTGCCTCCCGAACCAATTAATTGATGAAAAAAATGGCGCATTCCGATCGATCCTAGTATGTAATAACAATCTTGGTGCTCTGTTCCATAGATCTACAGGTTCGATTTCATAATCCTCTGTATCGGGAGGTATGGCGTGGCGAAGCTCCCGACGTTTGCTGACGGGAGAGGCTCCGAGGTGTTCCGCGGGCGAGTGCTCCATTCCATGGAGTACTCAGCCATGGCGCACGCGGACGCCGCCGAGCTGGTCAGGGGCAAGCGTGTCGCCGTGGTTGGCGCCGGCAAGTCGGCCATGGACATCGTCGCGCAGTGCGCCGAGGCAAACGGTGAGATCGATACGATCGGACGACTGATGCTTTTGCATTGCCTGCCTGCTGCTTCTACGTCTTTGCAAATTACTAAAGCACATCATTTGCGTTTGACAGGTAGCAGGTACCCGTGCACAATGGTCTACAGAAGCGCCCATTGGATGCTGGATCCTAAACTTGCTATCACCACCTCGGCTCGATGGACCGAATTGATGGTTCACAAGCCCGGAGAGGGGTTCGCGCTCAGCCTTCTCGCCACGGCACTCACTCCACTGGTAACACTCACTAGCAGTCTATGTCTAGCACTAGCTCATGTCATGCAAACACACACTGTGACACTGATCGATCGACTCCATCCATCCTGCTGCAGCGATGGCTTATCTCGAAGTTGGCCGAAGTCTACTACAAGAGGAGCATCCCGATGCAGGAGCACGGGATGGTCCCGGACGGCAGCTTCTCGCAGGGGAGCCTGGGCTGGCGGATAGGCACACTCCCGGAGGGGTTCTACGACCGGGTGGACGACGGCAGCGTGGCGCTCAGGAGGTGCCGCGGCTCCGTCGGCTTCTGCGCGGACGGCCTCGTCGTCCTGGACGACGACGACGACGCCGTGGTGGGCGCCGACGTGGTCATCCTCTCCACGGGCTTCCACATCGACCGGCCGCTGCGGGACGTGTTCGCCTCCCCCAGGTTCGGCGAGATGGTCGCGCCGGACGACGGCGGCGCGGCCGCGGTGCTCCCGCTCTACAGGCAGTGCGTGCACCCGCGGGTCCCGCAGATGGCCGTCGTCGGGTACGTCGAGAGCGGCTCCAGCATCTACCCCTACGAGATGATGGCCAAGTGGGTGGCGCACCTGCTCGACGGCGCGGTCCGGTTGCCGCCCGTCCGCGACATGGAGCGCGACGTGGCGGAGTGGGCGCGGTGGGGCCGGTGGGCGAGGCGCGCGTGCGGGGGATTCTTCCTCAAGTCGTGCATCGCCTGCGTCACCACGTGGTACCACGACCAGCTCTGCCGGGACATGGGCCACCGGCCTAGGAGGAAGGCCGGCCTCCTCGCGGAGTGGCTACAGCCGTACGGCCCAACCGACTACGCCGGCATCCAGTGAAAGCTGTACTGTACTATACGAAGGATAAGGATCCAATCTTTGATCTAAGAGTTTTTTACCTGTGTGCCATTATAAAATATTGAAATAACCTGTGTACCATTGGAATTCGAAAAAGTTCTCCATTACCCTCTTTGAAATTTCTTTTGCTCTGTATACCACTTCCGTCAGCTTGCCGTTCAATTCTAACAGAGGTGGCTATGAACCAGAGTAAAAATTACCTTTTTGCCCATCAGTGTTTCGTCCAATTCGCTCGTGAACTTCTCGTCTCCTCCTTGTTCACTCGTTCGTTCCCCACTCGAAGGCAAAGAGCGCTCGAAGGCAAACCCTAGACCCCAGAGGGAGGCGCCGCCGGCCGTGCACCCGGAGGAGGCGTCGTCGGCCGTGCACCCCGGAGGGAGGCGCGCGCTCGCGAGGGGGCCAGGGAAGAGGCGCAGCTCGTCGGGGCGGGCAGCGCTCAAGCCACGTGCGGAGGCGCGGCCTCTTCTCGGCGTGCGCGCGGTCGCGAGGGGAGGAGGCGCGGCCTCGTTGTCTGGCGTCCAAGGCCATTTCAGGAGGAGGAGGCGGGCTCTCTCTCGCGTGGGAGGCGTGTTGCGGGGCCTTCTCATTTGGGAGCCCGAGGGAAGGTGCTCTCATCTCGAGGCTGGGAGGCCTTCGCGCGGAGGACGCCTTCGTGTCGTGAGGCCGCTGCGCGTGAACTGAGGAAGCTTCATGGGAAGGCCCAGTCACGTGCTTGGCGAGGCGGGGAGATCGATGTGGTCTTGACTTGGTGTGGATTTGGGAAGGATGGCGGGGCCGGCGACCAAAGCATGGCTTCCCGATGGGTGAGCGTTCCTTTTCTTCTCCAAATGCATGATATTAGTAGCATCTTTTGATCTTGTTAGGACTGGAATGAAGCGCATATGGGCGGGCGGAGCTCTCTTATGGCAAGGTATGGCGGTCGCCATACCTTGAATTCTCAAACAATTATCTTCCTTGAATCACTCTATACCATGAGCAGTTAAGAAACATAAAGTTTGGTGTTAGGAAGTGCGGGTTGCGGCGGAGGTAGGAGAAAAGCAGCGAATCATCCACGGACCTTGTTTCGGGCTACTACGTGTTCGGCGGTATGGGGATTGAGGGCCCTTTGGTTTGGCCCGTGGCTAGCTTGCCACCCACGTGACCACGTCCGATCGTCCACATAATGCAGCAAAGACGATGATGGGAGACACGAACCATTATCTAACTCTCTCGATTGCAGGCCCGCCTTTGCCGTAGCATGATATCGCATAGACACAATTGAAGTGTATTGTCTCCCTCAAAAAAAGAAGAAGTGTATTGTCGGGTTTGTCACTTGGTTTGTCTAATAACTTTATTACTTGTTTGTTTCTATTTATCCTAAATGTTTTTACATACATATTAGATGCCAATAATACCATTTTATATGTGTATAAACCATCTTAACAAGAAATTTTTGTTATCTATGTTATCAACCTCGCCATACCTTAAAATTTTTTTCGGTCTCCGCCATCGCATATGGGAGTAAAATATATGTCGTTCATTTGTAGGAATGACATCAAGACCGATTTCAATCTAGAAATCGGGATAATTAGTCCAAATATGCGAGGACCATGGTATGACATTAATAAAGTTGTTGATTCGGACATCACAAATTTTAAAGACCTTGTTGATGAAATTCTAGATCGGTTTCCTTATGCGGATATGGTGATGTAGTGAAGTTGTTCTATTTCTTGTGTCTTTGATAGCAAGTCCAACATACAAATTCATTCAGACCAAGAATTAATGCATATGTTCGCGAAACATATGAGCTCCAAGTGTTGTTGCATGTCAATTGCATATCATAAACCTGATGTTGATCCACCAGAAATCCCACTATGGGACAATGTTGACATCCCATGCACCCCATCAGCCCCTAGCTATGTAGAACCTAGCAAAACAACCCAAACTGGGACTGCTACAGAACCAGATGATGACATGGTAGATCTTTGAGGATAATTATCTTATGAATCTGAACGGAGAATGAACATGTGGGGGTTGATGAGGAGGGTTTATACCTTGATATAGCACCTGCTTCTCATGCAAATGTTGACATAAATGAGGAAAATGATGAAGATTATGATTCAGGTTCAAACTCGGAATCTGATTCTATGTCTGACTCTGATTTGGATGATGAGGTAGATGATAGATTGCCATCTGACATCACTCAAGTTGCATATAACAAAGATGACCCTCCTATGGAAGTAGGGAGCATCTATCCAAACATGTCCGAATTTAAGTTGGCTCTTGCAACACATGCTATCAAGAAAGAATTTGAGTATAACATTGAAAAGAGTGAACTGAGGGAGGTATCGGGCACATCTTGGCAAGGAGTGGAAGATGGTTGTAAGTGGAGGCTTCATGCATCGACAATGAGGGATAAAGTTACTGTACAGGTAATTTCTTTTTCATTTATTTTTGTAGTTTGTTCATATTTCTGAATTTATTTCAGTACTTCGTTCATACTTCGAAATTATTCTAGTCTAATTGAAACTAAACTCAGAGGTCAAGGTGAACCTGCACCCTTATGATCATAAATGTCAAAGTAGTAGGAGGGTTGGGAAAGTCAAGCATGCTACCAAGTTTTGGATTCGGGAGAAGATAAATGATTGGTTAGTGAGGACCCAACTATTCGCCCAAAGAACTTAGGAGAAGATTGAAGGATGATTGGAAGGTCGATATCGGCTACAAGAAAGTGTATGATGGAAAGGCACTTGCTATGGAAGAGTTGTATGGAAGGCGGCATGAAAGTTTTGACAACTTGTGCAGGTTTAAGGCACAGATAGAACAATCTTGTCTGGCAACTTTGTTGTCATTGATCATCATACAATAGAGGATAAGATCAGATTCAATAGGCTTTTTTGCAATGAAACCTTGTGTTGAAGGTTTCCTTAGAGGTTGTAGGCCCTATATCGGGTTGATTGATAGTACATTCTTATTTGGAAAATTCAGAGGTCAATTATGCATTGTTTGTGCAGTTGATGGGCACAAATGGATGTACCCAGTTGCTATAGGAGTCATTGATTCTGAAACCAATGAAAACTAGATTTGGTTCATGGAGAGGCTTAAGGAAGCTATAGGTACCCCACCTGGTCTGAACTTTTGCACAGATTGTGGTCAGGCAGTCATGATAGGAGTTAGTAAGGTATTCCCAAATGCGGAGCATAGAGAGTGCATGTGGCACTTGGTGCAGAATTTTAAGAAAAGGTTCAATGAAAAAGTTTTTGATGAACATTTGTGGGCTGCTGCTTATTCTTGGAATTCATATATGTTTGAAAAGCATATCAACGCCATGGCTGAAGCAAATCCAACAGCAATGACATACTTGCAGCAAACTCATACAAAACTGTGGACAAGAAGTCAGTACTCTACATTGTCAAAAGTTGACTATGTTACCAATAATTTAGCAGAAAGCTTCAACAATTGGATAAAAGCTGATAAGGGGCTGCATCTAGATGACTTGATGGATACTATAAGATAGAAGCTTCTAATCAAGTGGAACTTGAGGAAAAAAATTGCACACAGATTGGAAGGAAAAATTTTGCCACACATCATAAGTAAGCTAAAGGAGCAAAGTAGGAACCTTGACATTGATGTTGTGACCAGCTCACTTGATGGCATTGCAGAAGTTATGGCAAGGGGAGGTTCTACTTACAGGTTTGTTGTCAACCTAAAGGAAAGAACATGCTCTTGTAGAGCATGGGACGTTTCTGGAATACCATGTAAGCATGCAATTGCCTACATCACCTCTATACCTGGAGAGAAGATAGAAGATCATGTGGACAACTACTACTCTGTACAGAGCTTCAGGGCTGCATATGTTGGTACAATCCCTTCTATACCAGACAAATCCATGTGGCCCAAAAAAGAACATAGTTTCTTCCTGCATCGTCCATTGTTGAAGTCAACGGCTGGTAGGAGAAGACAAAATAGATACAAGGGAGCAGCAGAGGGTGGCAGCAAAGGACCCAAGGGTAGGCATCAGTGTCCAATCTGTCAGCAATATGGACATCATTGGTACACATGTAAAGATGGTGACCCAGCAGACATAGCAGCAATGCTTGCTGAAAGGTAACATAGAAGTGCCAATTTATTCTGCAATTATTTCCTTTTATAGTGCCAATTTATCCTTTGCACTAGGAGAAAGAAGACTTTTATACGCTCTTCTGTCGCTACCAAACATTAGTTAGCTGATGGGGACTATGTGACTAAAAAACAGCCACATGCATGTAAAATATGTCGTATTGTCCAAACAACCACATGTGGATGTCAATTGGAGTTTGTTTTTTTGGGTATCCTAGTGGTCCAACGTTTCTCTTTATCTTACAACAACTTATACATGTGGATGCTTGTTTCCTATATTGAGAAATTTTTTAATTGTGAACTTTAAAGAACGAAACATGAGTACAAATTGAGGTTCTGTACCCTTGGTGTTGGCATCAAGAAATAGCACTATACCAAGATCTTTTGATATTTTATTATTGGCACTAAAAAAGTGCTGCTGATCATGATTGGACAATAGTGGTTGAATAGAGTGAAACAAAAGATTAGGTAAAGACATCAATATTTGTCTCTGTGAAGAGCAAATATGAATGTTGATGCGATCATGCCAATGTTTACATTGTTGCTAACCTATCTAGATGTTTACATTGTTGCTAACCTATCTGTCAATGCAGAGGTCCACCTAAAAAGAAGAAAAAGAAGATAGAACTAGCTACTCATCGAGACCAAGATTGTACTGCAAAGCACCACAAAGGATGGTCTTTCCAGTTCTACCCTCTTTGTTGTGGATCTATCAAAGAAAAGGAAGAACAAATCATCCTCATCAACTCGTGCAAAGAAACAAAAGAGTACTTCCAATACTTCAAGCTGCTTTGAGGCTAGTGACCCCTCCGTGAGGTATAATTGTCTTTTCACCACTTTAATTGGTAAGCCAACCTGTTTTGTACTCATGTCTCTTTTTTCGG